ATATATATATATATAGCGAACACAGCTACTGAGCATCAGCCGATAACACGTCCGCTGCCTTATTATGCAAGTGATCGCTGCTGAAGGCGCTTAAACCAACACGAACTCCATTTATCGTCACCCTTCATATCGCATGACTAACCCAATTTTTCGCACTCACACATACGATTTAATTCTCATAGTAAAGACACTGGTGTCAACCAATTCCACAGGTACAGTGTAGGATATCCCGAAATAATTTCCTTTTTGAAAACCACTTTCCCATACACAGAGCGGTAAGCATAAGGTGTTCATTGTACAAAACTTCAAAAGACTTGATAGACAGTAGTATTCAAACCCTCATTTAAAGAGGACAAAGCTCTCGGCGTTGATCAATCACTGAGGAATAATCATTCATTCAATATCATTAAACGTCGTTGGAAGTGAATGAATGCATATCTGGCCCTTACAATGACTCACGGTGGCCTACCAATTTATCGAGCCAGTGTACACTCCCAGACAGGTCTGGTACCAATTTGCCGAGCCCGGAAGTATGAAAGGCTTGATGAGCCACAGGCTCAGGAATCGATCCTATGTGCATAGCAAGGCGCCTCTGACCACTGCACCGCACACTCCAATACCCTTGTTAATGAGAAAAATCGCTCTCTAACTAAACATTACTTTGAACTAAAAAATACTTGCTCGTACAAAAATTAAGCAACTGAGACGCATTACGCAAAAGACGTACAATTTTATACAGGACGTCGTAAGTCTTAACATTCTGCTCTTGTACAAAGAAAAATTTTAATGTCACATTGCAAAACAAAGAGTTAAAAAGACGAATTAACTGTCAATAGCACAGGTTAACAAATGGACCCAAAACGGTTTGAGAAAAAACGATAAAATTAGGGCATGAATAGTAGAATGAGCAATGCTGAAGATAGAAAACTGTCATCCACGTCCTCCAAAGACTCATACTACAATAACTACCTTGAAGTTTAGTTAAGCATCGTGTGATCCTCGAAAATATTTTTCCTCTGCTCCTCCACTTTCTTCATCCATCGATTCTGCTCAGCTTCAACCCTGCCAAGAACATCTGCAAAAGGAACCAATTTCTTATTGCCACACGGAACTATATTGCAAAACTTGTTCTTTCTTTCTTCTGGCATTCCTGTATTAGACATTTTTCAATAAACAGCGCGAGAATGCTTCAGCTCCCTAATGCAGCAAAGTTTTCACAGAACATAGCTACGCTGCAGCGTGTAAATATCAAAGTAATAAGTTGTGTTGTACACACATCGTCATTGCATGAAAGTTCAATGAGCGAGTAAATTAACGAAATATTTGTTTATAAACCTTCACCATTTTGTCGATGCATTGAGGAGTACATGGGAGATAGAACCTTGCCAAAAAAAATAAAAAAAAATAATAAAAATAAAAAAAATACCGGCAAGCCTATGTGTCTAACTTGATGATCTCGAAAATCTGCACATGTAAAAAAAACACTAATGAAGAATTCAACGAAAGATCACAAACTTAAAACAAACAGTTCTCAAATCGCCTTGTATGAGAGTGCCCTAATATTCAGAATAAGCTGAGATAATTTCCTTCCATGTCTTAAAATTGATTGTCAGAGCTGTCATCTACTTCGACCAATGGACTTATTACCGTTGAGAACGCTTGCAACTTCTGGGGCCAACTATTCTGCTCTAGAGATTCATATGTCACCTACTCTACCGAGCACGAGATAAGGTTTGATTGAGATTTACAAATATAAAACGAAATTTTAAATGATTTTTTTTTTCATTGTGTACCACAAAGCTCATCCAAATATCAAGGTGTTGCAAAAAACGGACGTTGGCACTGGTTTTTTCCTGAGATACCTGCTATACATAATTATAAAACCCGTTTCCTTTCTAGCCACTTACCTTGTATTAGTTTTTCTAGCACTGTATCTCAATATTATGATTTTAGGGCAGCTAAAATGATGCTTTCAAATCATGAAAACCTCATAGTTTCGCTTCATTAGCTCAAACCTATACATAACACAACAACGGCAACTCAAAATACCACCTAAAGCCTTGACCACGAATGTGCTTCCAAACGCATAACGCGGCAATGTCTTGTAAGGCTGCGGACTAGTCTTCATGACGGAGAAGGTTGTGGGCACCTATTAGGTTGGTAAATATGAAATTTCCAATTTTAATGTTTTAATTTTCCGTGTAGTTTTTTTAAATAAAAATTTTGTTCTTTCTGTACGTTTAATATATATTTTGAAGCATAAAGTGTTCTCTTTCTACATCTGGTATAGGTTTTTTTCAAGATTTATTATTCTGATATTATTACATCTTCATAGGCTTTAACTTAGGCATGAATCAACGTGATATCCGTGTCCTTTTTATACGAGTGGAAAAGCGGACATAATGCGCTGGTAGGAGCTTGGAATGTCACCAAGTTTGGGGGTAAAGGTAGTATTGGTGAGTCAATATTGCGAACACGGTTCCGGAAATTCCGATCTGCTAGAAGTTAAGGAATGTCGTGGACGCCTCAATGAACTTGATGACGACGAAATGAAGGCATTAGTGGAAGCAAACACGCGAACAACCGTTCGAGAGCTTGCAGAACAGCTTGGCGTAAGCAAAGGAACAATGTTCACTCACCTGAATCGCATATGAAAGACAAAAAAACCTGATAAGCGCATACCACACGAATTAAACGATAATTTTTAAAAAATCGCCAATATGAAGTGTCGTCTGCTCCTATTCTACGCAACAAAAACGACCCTTTTCTTGATCGAAATGTGAACTGCGACGAGAAGTGAATTCTGCGCGACAACTGGCGACATTCAGCTCAATGGTTGGATTGCGATCAGGCTCCACAGCACTTACCAAAGCCGAAATTGCACCAGAAAAAAAATATGTGGCGACGGTTTGGTGGTCTGCAGCCGAGCTGATTCATCACAGCTTTTCGAATCCGGGCGAAACAATTACGGCAGAGAAGTATTGCCAACAAACCGACAAAATGCACCGTAAACTCCAACAACAATGGCCGCCATTAATCAACAGAAAAGAACCAACCATTCACCACGGCAACGTCTGCCCTTACTCTGAAAGGCAACGCTGCAGAAGTTGAACGAGTTGGGCTACGAAACTTTGCCTCATTCACCAGACCTCTCGCCTAGCGACTATCACTTCAGGTACCTTCACAACTTCTTGGGCAATAAATGCTTCACCAACCACGATGACGCTAAAAATGCCTTCAATGAATTCACCGCTTCCAGAACTCTAGAATTTTATGGAACTGGGACAATTGAACTTTCTTTCTGAAAAAAATGTGCTGATTATAACAGTGGATATTTCGATTAATAAAATATGAAAGAAGTTATGGCTATTTAAAAGTTAACATTTAAAATCGGATATTTCATAGTTTACAGCCTAATATAATAAGTTAACAGCAATCATCTGAAGCTGACAATCTATAAAGCCCTGCAAAAACTACTTCAAAGGTTATAAAAAAGACAACATTCGTAATTCGACAACCGATACCTTGAAGACAACAGCACGGTAGAAAAGCGCGGTAAATGCGTGCTTAATGAATTGAAAGAATGGTAGCGCGATCACCAGCCTGTTCTGCGTTTACGACTCAATTCTCCATCCTATGGCGGTGTTTGCAGTGGTGTAAATGCCGACCATTAGAAGCACGGTGCTGGTTCGACCCTGCTTCGTGCTCACCAAGTCTCTCATCACTCTAATGTCGTAAAATTGGTACCGGACTTGCCCGTGAAGAAATTACTCTCCACAATCCAATCACGAACGCTCCAATCCGGCCATCTCAGGACTCCAGGGAGGATCGACTCGACCAGCATTCAACGACATTCAAGATGAAAGGAAAATTCTCAAGCAGTAGTCGAAGCCACATGTAAAAGTTGAAAAACCTTCCTAGATGATGGATGCGAAGAAGCAAATTGAATGCGAGAAGAGCTGGGTTCCGCACAATAGACGTGAAAACGGGTCGTATAAAAAGAATCAACTACCACTTTTGAAAGCGCCTTGATAAATAGTATTTAGGACAAGCTTTCGACAACCTAGCCGAAGATGGAAATGGCTTTGAACAACTGATCACCTCTGGATCAATATAACTCTACTGTCGGAATAAATAAAGCTGCTCTTTGCTGATAACCATAAGACATGCAGAATAGCTGTTACACTTTAAATTCACATTCAACTGAATTGTCCGAGAATATCCCTTTTTAGACTAATCTAACATTTTAGTGCTAATCCTAATTCGAAGAATAGAATTGTTCGAAAATCTCCACCACGAATTGAACGAAATATTGAAGATCTGAGCTCAATACTATTTTTAGTAATATTTCAATTTTTCTCCTTGATTTTATGTCTTCATTCATTGCTCCGTGACAGTATAAAACAATTTGAGCTAAAATGACACAGGTCTCGGAGCTTTCAAAAGATAAGGCTACAAAACCTCTAATACCCGAGGAAAAGACAGGCTATCAAATCGTCGTCTTTTCATAAAAAAAAAAAACAAAAACTACCGTTTCGGCATAGAAATATTAATCCCCATTGATTAGCACTACTTAATAATGCATAAAAGTGAATAAAAAAGCTCCTACTCTGCTTATTGCTCGATATTGGACGCATACTGCTTACAGGTGTTTCGGAGAAAGAACTCTCAACAGCTCGAGCAAAAATATTTTCCTCCATCTGAAAGGGAACAATACGTAGCTCGAAGCGCTTGGTACAAAGATTTGTTAAAATACACAGAAGTAAGAATCAGAGCACAAGCCAACAAGAAGATATACCTACCTCTTCATTTTGCTGTCGGTAGAACGTTTGGAATCGTTGTTTGCGTAGCATGGGATCTAAGCACATCAAGAAAGCCATATAGGTTACCAACACCATGATCACACAGATCAGGAAGATTACAACCACCTTCAAGACAGCAAAATATTAGAAAAACAAGGTTAAAAATAGGACAACAAGAAGAATAGGAAGACAACAACGTGTTGTGTATATTCAAGCGGTACGCTACTTAGTATGCACACCAAGGCCGACCTTGAGCATGACTGTATTCCGGCTCTCAAATCGACAATCACAATTGGCTAGGAAAGCGTCCATGTGAAAATCGTCGACGATTTTGGCTACTTCAGTTTTTACCACTGACTGTGGACTGCTGAAATCCAAACCGTTACTTCTTTTTCAGCCGTCGTCTTTAAACGAAAGTTTACTATTCAAGGGCTAACCAAAAGCTGGGACTGATATTCGTCATTGTGTAATAGCGACGATGGTTATCATTGTGATCGGTAAGATTATCACCTACGAAGTACATCGTGCTCGGGCAGACACATCGGCACCTTGTGTCCTCGAAGTTAGCCTAAATTTCAGCATTGACGGAGACCTTTCTTTTCTCAATTCTATTTTTAAATAACTTCATGAAAAACTTACAACTTTATTTTGCTTTCGATAAAACTAACATACTAGGAAACTTTAAGAAAAAAACGGCTGCGCAAAACATGGTATCAAAAAAAGTGAAACCATAATTCGTCGACCAAAGAGTGGACACGACCTACAAAACGAGTCTAGAAGATTACTACCGCAAATAAAAGAAAATCCAGCCCGTCCACTAACCCTCATACCATGCCCACTGGAAAACAAATCTGAGAGGGAGACACCACCTAGACGAAACTTTCCATTGAAGCACGCCACCACGCGACTAGTTCGGTACCAAGACGGTGATGGATCCTGGTATTGGTTCAGTCTTAGTTGGGTTACCTGATGGAAACGCCGGACCCCTTCTCAACTTGGGATATCCTGCCAGGGGGGTGAATCCCCTGTTGTACAACGCAGCCCAACACAGAGGAACACCTCCCAGCCACGATGAGGCGATAGACCGTTAAGAAGAATACCAAAATAATTCGAGTTAAATGAGAAAGTCAAGCATATCTATAAAAAATTCAAGAACGATGTTCAGTTAGCTCAATGAAAAACATGGTACTGAACAGAAGGCGCAAGAAAGAATCATTTCGTGAAAAATGGATTGTGCAGTGATGGTAAAACTATTGCCCTTTAGATTACAGAGGTCACATCCTACGCATACCTCTAGCAGTTTTATGAAAATCGAGGATGATATGAAGGCGTAGAGACGTCGGGAAGACAGAGAGTAATATGAGCTGCGTTCTAGTCACTACGAGGATCCACCGATTAAACGATGAACTCAAAACTCCGCGCTCATGCTTTTGAGTGGGCCTCTTCCATCTTTTTGCTACGGCCTAAGATGTGTGCTGACACTTCAACCACAGTAAATTCGGCTGAATCACAAAGCGCATGATACCCCAAAAATATTTCGAACACACAGTTGCGGATTGCATAACTGAGACTTGGAGAAATATCTTGTTTTCAAGGTAAAGGGAACACGAGTAAAGATCAGAACGAGATAAAGATGGGCCGTCCATGTAACTGGTGGGGACAATGAAAAATGTAGGAGTAGAGTGGCACTAAAGATTATGCAAGTACCTTTGATGCTACATAGAATCATAATGATGATAGGACATTTGCAAAACTCCAGACCGCGGTTGTCTGCGGTGAGAATGGAACAAGCTACTACACTTTCCTGGGCCTGTTACTGGGTGTTGGAGTACAATGTACAGCGGAGGGATCCATCCCCGGCAGGGTCTCTCAAGCAGAGAAAAAGTCCAGCGTTTCTATCAGGAAGCCCAGTAAAAAGCAAACCAACACCAGAATCGAACACTGTCCTGTTGTCAAACTAGTCGCATGGTGGTGAATCCTCCCCTGATCCACAAAGCCGCCCATTACTTGTGGTGGTGGCGACACGAGGTATACTTTGGGATGGCTGACCTCAGGACTGCAGGGAACCACAACAGCTAAACCAGCAAATCTCCGAAGAATGAAGATTATGCTGGGCCCACACAACCAGTGTGGATAGGCCATCCAAATATCCACGTAAGTAATGGATTGTATCACTGACCACTACAGCACCATACTAACCTCCTAAGTCAGTTCGTAAATTATATTAGACTACAGTAGGTTTACGTAGGAGAGAACAAGTGCCTCACAATCTTGACAAGTTTTTGAGTTCCAAAATCGGAATGCCAAGCCAAGTAGGTATAAACTCTAAGTGGACCTCATTTATTAACAGTAGAAGGAGGTGTGCGTGGAAAAAATGAAACTTAATCATCATTCCATGAAGAACACAATAATGATAAGAAAGAATGAAAAAGAATAAGCCAACCTCTGCAAAAACGTCGTTAACGCAGACTAAAGAAAGTGCTGCAAGGATTCCACACTGCATGATTCCTTAAGAGATCACCATTTGTTCTATCTGGAAGAGAGGCATGAGTCCACCAAGAATCACCAAACACTAACATCCAAAGAAATATGGAACCGAGGCCAACTTAGCGATGACGCAAAGAAACCACGATACCACAAACCCGAGCGACAACGTGAACCGAGCGCTTCTGAACGCAAATTTTACGCGTCGTTTCCCAATAATTATGTGCAATCGCGAACGCGATCGCCGATTTTCGTGGTCCTGTGCAGTCAGTAGTACTCAGATATCGTACCTGTATACCTGGACGGCCGGTCCTCACTGAGTGTGCGGGCCCCAGCACATTCTTTGTTGTTTCGGAATTTTTCTGGTTTAGCCATTGTGTTTCTCTCGAATCCGAGTGTTTCCGAGGTCAGCCTGGCCAAAGTCTGCCCCAGGTTATTACCACCACAAACAGTCGCTGACCTTGTGGATCAGAGGGAGATTTGCAACCATGCGACTAGTTTGATACCAGGACAGTGGTGGATGCTAATATTGGTTTACTCTTAGTTGGGCTTCTTGAAGGAAACACCGGACTCCTCTGCTTGGGAGGCCCTCCCGGGAGGGTGAATCCCCGCTGTACATCGCAGCCCGACACCCAGGAACACCTCCCAGCCATGATGAGGTGGTAAACCGTTGGGAGTTGTTCAAATATCAGTGTGTAGTATGTTCACCATTACTTCTCTCGCTGTCTTTCAAATGTTAGTTGTCGGTTATTTATACTGTCGTTGTACTTGTATTTTCAGAAGATGGGAAGCTATTTTTCCTCTGTTTCACCGAGTCAGGCTTCTTTTCAATCCGACTTGTATGCTGAGCTTGAGCGGACAAGGGTGGGTTGTTGACAAATAAAGCGTGACTGTGGGCGGATGCTCTTCTATATAGATGCCATGGAAGTCTTCTATATGGGAACTACGGTAACTAATAACAAGAAGAGCATTTACAGATAGAACGTGAACTGGCGATCACTCACATTCTTGAACAACGTCGACGGGCTTATAAGGTTTGTTCTGATTGCAAGAACTAACTTAGGAAAGTGCTATTCCACCTCCACCGGTGTTGCCCAGAATGTTTGACTGCAAAAAGGCTAAATGGAACGAACAAGGTTCTTATGAACTGATTTTGTTGAGCTGATGCGAGGTTGACATAGTTGTCGTTGTTGTTAATGTTGTTGCTGGTTGATGGCTGACGTTCCGGCGATTTCGCCTTCCTCAGAGCCGTGCTATGACGAGTGGGACTGCCTCTCGTGCCTTCTGGGCTGCATTGAGCAGTCCCACAGCTAACTGGACTGGGCTGTCCCACTTATAACAGCACATCTCTGAGGAAGGCGAAATCACCGAAACGTCAACCATCGATCAACAACAACGACATCTATATCAACCTAGCATCAGTTCAACAAAATCGGTTCATGAGAACATATAAATAAAAGTGTCAATTATTTTTGCTGAGGTTTATAGAAAGTCGCTCTTTTGAGTTATTAAGAGATATGCCAGCAGACCAAGGCTCAGTTATGACGTATTTTTATTTGCAATCTCTCCCTTCCCAACGGTTTACCCCCTCATCGTGGCTGGGAGGTGTTCCTGGTGGTCGGGCTGCAATGTATAGCGGGGATTCTCCCCCCGGCAAGGTTTCCCAAACTGAGGAGTCCGGCGTTTCCATCAAGAAGCCTAGCTAAGGGTAAACCAATAACAGGATCCACCACCGTCTTGGTGTTAAAGTCGCATGTTGGTAAATCTTCCTCTAATCCACAAGAACTGCGACTGCCTGTCGTGGTGACGACATGGGGCAGACTTTGGCCAGGCTGTTCTCGGGATTCCAGGGAACCACAATGGTTTAACCAGCAAATCTCTAAAAAGTGGTGATTATGCTGTGGCCCGTACAACTAGTGAAGACGGGCCCTTCAAGTATCAAGTAAGTAGGTATATCTCGCCAATGAACTAGATGAAGTTAGTAATTCACTGTTTCCTCGATGAGGAAACAAAAGAGTGTTACCAGCATTTATTTATTTGCAATAGTCGACATTTGGGCGATTTCGTCTTCAGAGCCTGGAGAGGTCTAATTGACATGCAGTTTACTCAACCTGACACGGCCATGACCTCGGCAGGCAAAACTGATTTCCTAAGTTTTCTTAATGACTCAAAAGACCGACTTTCTATAGACCTCGGGATAAATAATCGATATATTTATTTATATGTTTTTATGAACTGATGTTTTTAGCTGATGCGAGGTTGGTATTTCGCCTTCTTGAGAGCCGCGCTATTACGAGTGGGACCCAAAATTTCATTTGGATAATAAATAGCTTCTTTTGGGCACCCACCGTTTTGTTCCCGGTAAACCTTCCAGTTATTTAATGGAAGCCGTCTGCCTGAAGCCCTTCAAGAGTTTTATGCACTGATCTTTTCGATTCCTGTTCGAGGATGTTAACTTCTATTTCAAAATCTTCCCCGTTATATTCGGTGTCCTACATACGCCTAGACGTACTTGGTTTGACTTCAGCTGTACCGACTAGATGTCCTTTTCTACGGACGCACGGTGGTCTACTCGTCTCGCCAAGAGATCAGATGAAGTGGAACTGATCAATTACAGTTTGTACCAATTTTCCGCTGTGTATAAATGACCCAATACAGACGGTTACAAACTGCTTGGCGTCTTAGAATACAGAGCGTTATTTCAGTCCTTTTTAGCAACTTCTGTTGACCGGCGATTTTTCAGCAGCGCTTTATTGCTGCATTTATCTCGTTCGAAATAAAGAGCAGGATAAACAGAACGTTATACCCTCTGAACATATCAATTTTGAGGTGAGACTATCCCTCTACAGATACCCTGAGGAGCTACGGGTTCGTAACAGTTGGAAATGGCTGCATGCAGCGCCAAGCCCAGGGATTTATCCTTCTGTTCTCTCTCTACGCAGGCGATGGCGGCGTTTTGAAACATGTTCCCCACAAGCGCCGTTCTTGTGTGAGAGGTGAGAGTTATAAGTGGAGTTAACTCTGAAATGATGTGGAGTTCTTTGCGCTTTAACACATTCGCGATGATTTGAACCATGTACAAATTGTGAGTGGCAGGCGGTATGATACTATCGTATTTTGTTTACTTCCTGGACGTATAACTTTTACCTACTGCCAACCATTTTGAAAACGGGATATTCTATGAAATAGTCCACGATGATGCTGAGATGTTTGCAAAACTTGGACTCCAGACCAGATCGAACCACGATTACTCTTTCTGGTGGCTCACTTGTTACGCACTTGGCCACTGAGGTCCTCGTTCTGCCTTTCTCTCAGTTCTTCTTCTCCTTCTCTTTCAGCCCTTTCTTTCACCTTTTTCTTCCTGAATGTTTGTTTTTCGCACGTTGTTCTTTCCTGCTATACATTTGTTTTCGATAGCTTTACTACCGCATGCTCTGCCGGACGTCGTGCCAGAAAAGTTGTTCTCTGCCTTTGATATTTCACTAAAAAAAGTTTTGCGAGTGAATTTTCTTTTTTTACCAGCAGAGATGTTGTTGCTGGTAGACATGGTACCATGGTCCCTGTGTTGTAGTTGTTTACTGATCCATTTCCATTTGAGCGCGCTGAATGGGCCTTCAGTTTGTACGAGGACTGCAAGAGAGTCTTAATTTCCTCAGTATTTTCACTATTTCTCAATAGGGAGTCTATCGATGATGCAGTTTAGGTTTCGGCCGACATGGTTCAAGTGTATAAAATTAAATTTTTGACCGCTTTTTGACTTTTCAATCCGTAGAATCGTTTAGAATAGATCAGTGAAGAGATATAAGAACCCTAGACTTGGAAAGCCTTATAATACCGAAGTCGGCTGGTGGACAAGTTTTTTGTTTACCACACATAAGACGAATGTATTCTGATATCGTGAAAAGGTATGAAGAACATTGAGACTGCATAGAGTATAAAAGGCCATAAAAACGAAAAAAATGGTTTCAAAAGTTTTTATGCAGGAAGTCAGAGAAAGGTAGGCCCAGTTATTTTTGGAGACAGGGGAGACGATGCGGCTTACCTGAATTTCGTAGCCTCCGTGGTAAAAAAGTCATCCTTCATTGAAAATGTCTCAAATGAAATAGCACGGCTTTGAAAATATGTCTTATGTTACAAGCTTATTTCGAATCGAGCCAACGACCGGTCCTGTGTGTACTGCAGGGTGACCGTGACCACTGAACTAGACACTCGTCAGGCGGCAAAGCGCTTGCTATTAAATTCCTATGCATTTGTTTCATTCCAAATCTTGTGATTGTGATGTTTAAGACTTATGACTTATCCCGACGTGCTTTAGTTGGCTGAAGAGCGTGAAAAGTTGAGATTCAGTGCTTCGGGTGGAGGTATAATGATGCTGTTTTCTGCTTTGTCGGCATTCCATCACAAGTGCGTGCGCTGAAGGTTACTTTCCATCATTAAGTGAACTTTTCCTCGTTGGTTTCCTCTTCTTTTTTCTTAGAAACATGGCTTGTTAATTATTTCGACAATAAATGTTATCATTACAGAAACATGTTGCACCTTCTGCCTATATTTCCAACTGTCTCATATTTGGGATATCAGGTTCATTACTGTTACGGCAACAAACTAGCGACTATTGATGGTTAGTGACAGTCTCATCTGCTTTTTGTACTGAAGAACTGTTGAATAGTGACCCTGCACTATTCTAGAGATGGCGGTAAAGTTATGCCAAGGACACATAGATGAGCTAGCGCCATACCCGATACGTGTACAGGACGTCCGGAATCGAATGGCCCACTTGAGGCTTCTAAAGCAAGACGAGGAGATTTTCATGTGATCTAATCGCTGTCCACTTACATTCCCAACATTCGCAGTTTCTCAGTTTCAGTGGTAGTAAGAATAGTGTCGCCAGTGGAATGCATCCATGATATGTGCCCAATTCGTGCACTTCCTGATTTCCTGGTCAAGAATAAAGAGCACTTGTGGAATATCGTTCAAATTTAGTCTAGTCGTTTTGCGGACAGTTCATTCCTTTGTTCGGATATCAACTGGTGATCCTTTAGACGCTCTGTACTAGAATGGGTTTTGTTTATATGGGACAATCGATATCTCATCAAAAGGCTCGTAATCAGAAAGCCGTTGAACTAACAGCACTGAACGACGATTTCGTGAGTTTTGTTTCAAAGATAGATGTTGGTAAGCTTATTTAATTCGTAATATGTGTAGATTAATAGGTCTGTTACTTCTTGGAAAGTAGTGATATATGCCAGCCTAGGTATTTACATAGTTTGGTGTTTGCTATATATTTTCACTTAGATCGAGGCCGAAATTGTGTTGAAGAATCTGCAGTTCGCCCAAGAACGTGCTGTGAAGGTCAGTTTGTCATTTGTGCACTAACGAACTTATACCGACTGCATGAAGGAAATATGTTTTGATTTAATTCTCGGAAAAGTAACAAATCGAGCAGTGTCGCACGAGTAGCAAAGTAAATCACTCTCTGAGGCAGAGATCTTAATATGCTTAATATGCTTACGTGGATACTTTGATGACTCGTCCTCGCTCGTTGTGTGGGCTCCGGCATAATCTCCAATTTTCCAGTGTTTTGCTGATTTAGCCCTCGTAGTTTCCTGGAGTCACGAGGTCAGTCAAGCCAAAGTTTGCCTCAGGTCGTCACCACCACAGGCAATCACCGCCCTTGTGGATCAGAGGGAGATTTGCTACCATGCAACTAGTAGGATACCAGGACGGTAGCGGACCCTGATACTGCTTCACTCCTAGGGCTTTCCGATGGAAATACCGGGCTCCTTCTCTGCTTGGGAGACCCTCCAATAGGATGAATCCACTCTCCGTACTTTGCAGCTTGCCACCCAGAAACACCTCCCAGCCACGAAGTGGCGGTAAACCGTTGGGAGGAATCTTAATATAGCATTGTTAAATTATGACCGCTTCACTAACTCTTAACAGAAAATAGTAGGGTTGTAGTTGTGATCATCATATGTTGGTCAAGAACCGATTGAGTAGTTCCGGTGTTTTACTAAACAAAAGGTTCGAAGTGTAGAGAACATTCTGAAAAAAAAGTAAATTTGTTATAGTGAAATGTCTCTGTAAATTCTTTAAAGGATAGATTTATTAAGCTAATAGAGTTGCGTGAGCGGTTTAGCTGGGAGTTCGCCGGTATTACGACAATGGTGTGCATCTTGTTCTTTGCCGGTTCTACCACTAAAAGGAAGGTTGGTCTTCCAGAATATTTTTGTCGGAAGCGCAATTACATAGTTTTACCGTGCACGAAAAATTTATATAGGTGTTCAGGAGTTTGTAATACCTATTGCTCCACTGATAATGGGACTTGGATACAGATACTACTGTGCATATGGAGTGAACAGTGGGAATGTCATAGGTAGGACAAGTCTTTTTGTACATTTTGGTACCGTCGATGTAGAAGTATGTGAATCCTGGTTTTCTCGCAGTTTACCAATCAGGAGTTAAGAATTGAAGAAGAAATTGTTTTAGTAGCTGAAATCACAATGTTTAACGTTTTGTTTTCTGCCTTCTATAATTTTCATGGCAGGTTACTAAGCGAAATACAACCACAACGTTGCTGAGATATTTGCAAAACTCTGGACCGCAGGTGTCTATGGTGGGGTACGAACGCGTTACTCCCCGGAAAGGATAATAGCGCGTTCGTTCCCCACCATAGACACCTGCGGTCCAGAGTTTTGCAAATATCTCAGCAACGTTGTGGTTGTTTTAGTAGCTTTTAGGGATAAGCAAGGCTCCTGCTTACCTATTCATAGTTGTGAGATGTAACTTACATGTGATGTGGAATTCTTTAAAAGCAGATTTCGCCTATTTATTTCCAAAGGTCATATGTGACACTCTGTCTCCACTTCACGTCACATTATATTCAACGCCATTGTATACTTGATACTTGAATGGTCCGTCCTCACTGGTTGTGCAGACTCCTGTATAATCTCCATTTTTCGGGGATTTGCTGGTTAAGCCACTATGGCTCCCTGGAGTACCGAGGTCAGCCTGGCCGAAGTCTGCCCCAGGTCTTCACCACCACAGGCTGTCTCAGCTTTTGTGGATTAGAGGGAGATTTACCATCATGGAACTTTGATCTTAGCTAGGCTTCCTGATGAAAACGCCGGACTCCTTTTCAGTTTGTCAGTTCAGTTTGCCGCGGCGACAAATCCATCCGCTGTACTTCGCAGTCCGTCACCCAGGAACACCTCCTTCCCGGCCACGATGAGGCTTTAAACCGTTGTGAGGTATAACATTCTCCCTCTGATCCACAAAGGTTGTGACTGCCTGTGGTGGTGACGACCTGGGGCAGACTTTGGCGGGGTTGATCTCGGGACTCTAGAGAACCATGATGGCTTAACCGGCAAATCTCCGAAAAATAGAGATTATGCTTATGCCCGCACAACCAGTGAGGACGGGCCGTTCAAATATCAAGATATCCAATGTATAGATATAAAGATATAAATGATAGAAATAATAAATGTATCTCAGATAGAAAACTAGCTGGGAGTAAAGCGAAGCGAAGGAACCGGTGAGGTGGCGAACGTTACGCCCTGGAAAGGGTAATAACGTGTTCGATTACTACCACAGACACCGGTGGTCCGGAGTTTTGCAAATATCTCAACATCGTTTAACGTTTTGTTTTCTGCCTTCTATAATTTTCATGGCAGGTTACTAAGCGAAATACATCCACAACGTTGCTGAGATATTTGCAAAACTCTGGACCGCAGGTGTCTATGGTGGGGAACGAACGCGCTATTATCCTTTCCGGGGGCTAACAATAATCCTTCTTTGCAGTTCTGGAAAAAATCGTGTACTATTAAAAATCGCAACAAACATACGAAACACGGATCCTTTGGTTGGGAAGTTATAAGTGAATCAATGGTTTAATCGCTGACATCCAGAAGAATGCTTACTGAGTGATACAAGTGTACGTGCAATGCAATTCTCATACGAGAAGTATTAAAAGTGCATGTTCCTTCGAAATAATCAGTATGTGCGGTGTAATTATGTCTAAATCTAGAGACAGGTGGGCTGAGAGACAGGCGAGACAAAGGACCCGCATGGTGTGGTGGTGAACGCGTTACTCCCCAAAGGATAATAACGCGTTCGTTCCCCAACATAGACACCTGCGGTCCAGAGTTTTGCAAATATCTCAGCAACGTTGTGGATGTATCTCAACATCATTATGGTTATATACATATATATATTTATATGCATATGTACGTGTATATATGTTTGTCCATGTATATATATGTATATATATACATGTACATGTATATGTATATGTATATATATGTACACATACATGTATATATATACATACGTATATATGTACATACGTATATATATATACATGTACATATATATACATGTATAAACGTTAGTAGAGCATGTATAAAAATTATTGAAGCATCCAGGAATATACTGTATACATATTATAAAAACGAGTGCCAAAAGCGTGCTATACCGTCGTTGAGGGGTGCTTGTACGTTTTCAATCGTGCGCGATAGTCGAAAATGCCCCGAGTCGAATTCGAAAAAGGACATAAAGAATACATAGAAAGTAACATAGCATTGAGTAACTTATTACTTATTTAAGGACTATAAGTATGTATACTCATATATTAGACTGTAGACTGTATATTAGTTCCCACGTTCGACTTTCTACTAACCTCGGCATTGATCAAGTAATTCTTCGTATTTTTGTTGAGCAAACGCGAGGTGTTATTATTCTTTATTCACGAGTAAGCTGACGTTTCGGCGGATTTCGCCTTCCTCAGAGCCGCTTTCTATGAGGTTTCCACTAAGTATGTCGCGTGAAGACCAACCGCACAGAAATCACACGGAAGCATAATGGCAAAATGGGCGGCAAAATCCGCCGAAACGTCAGCTTATTCGTGAATAAAGGATAATAACACCTAGCGTTTGCTCAACAAAAACACGAAGATGTATATTAGTTCGTCCCACCGTTATCAAATTCGTGTTTTCCTTCGTTTTATAGTCTTGAAAACGTCGTACGTCGATGTGGTGGGATTCTGGTGTGCATTCGACTGCAACCTTCATCATCTGCAAAGCCCTTTATCTTCTATACGTATTCATATGGTGAACGCTTATCGAACCTGGTTCTCCATGAAACTAGAGATAGCCGTGCGAAGACATCTACTAGTAGAGTGCGTGTAAAGGCAGAATTATTGAACGAAAACAACAGTAATGGCACAGGCTCACTTTTCGGGAAAGGTGAATCGTCGGTATGAGTTGATTTCAACTAGAAGACAGTAGGACGAAAAGTTAGGCGTCGGTGTAAGTGGCTGTCAACAAACGGTCAAAAATTCCACTCCGGTTATATAGGGTACCAAACCACTATACGTTGGACGAGCTAAATTGTTTGCCTAACTCTGAGAACATCAGATTTATAAGGATATATCTGAGAAGGAAAACATGGTATGTTTAAATAATGCGCAAGGCACCAATCAACAGTAATGACTTGAGTTATAAAAAGAAAATCTGATAGTAGTGTTTTAGCTAAAGTTGTAGAAACTCCGTACAGGAATTCTTGAAATTCTGCGTGTTAATAATTTTTGTCAGTTCTTAACTGTTACAAACAAGTGCGAACATGTGTGAAAGAGGTGTGATAACTAATAAGTTGGAAGGGACTTCAATTAGCGGTTGAAGTGGCGACGTGCCTCCCAATGGTTTACCGCCTTTTCGTGGCCGGGAGGTGTTCCTGGGTGTCCGGCTGGGATGTACAAGGGGAGGATTCATCCCCTACCATCTTCTTCCAAGCTGAGAAGCAGTCCAACGTTTCCATGAAGAAGAGCTAAGAGTAAACCAATGCCAGGATCCGTCATCGTCCTGGTGCTAAACCAGTCGCATTGTGGCAAATCCCCCTCTGATCCACACGGACGGCCACTGCCTGTGGCGCTGACGAGCTGGGCCAGACTTTGGCCTGGATGACTTCGGGACTCCAGGGAATCACAATTCCACAATAAACGAGCAATACTCCGAAAAAGTGGCGATTATTCTGGGGTCCGCACAACCAGTGAGACGAGCCGATTAAGTATCCAAGTAAATAAGTAATAGTGACATGGTGAATGGCCTTCTGTTTATCATGAGATTTTTCTTATCGGTTCAAAAATTAGAAAACGGTCCGCTTCACTTGAGGATCGCAAACCATGATTCTCCACATTTTCGCTATTTCCACCTCGCCGTCCATGTTTCCGTATAACTAGGACGTATCTTCCATTTGTGATTGTTTTTTAGAGTCTGCTAGGACGTATCTTCCATTTGTGATTGTTTTTTAGAGTCTGCTGAGGTTTTACTGAAAGGAAACGATGATAGCTTAAAAATGGTTGGAGGACCGTTAACTCTCAAGGATGTGGATGCCTATCGGGCAAAACATTTCTGATATATTTGTGAGATTATTTTGGTTTTCAATACTAAAAATGAGCTTCACCTCGTAGTTTTTGGTGAGGTTATTCATACTTCAGAAGCAGCCTTGACAATTTCTGTGCATTCTTGCAGCTTTTTGTTCTGCTTCTTATTTTTGCACTCAGCAGGATGTCATTTTTTGAGTAAGATCTTCTTAGGTTTTGTGGATTGGAATGTAAACAAAATCAGTTTTTATATGGTTTAGTTGACCATCACTCCTTGGTTCTTTCTCAGGAGTACGTGTCATCGCTCTGCCTGAAAAGGTTAGAGTTCATACTCATTTTGTGGAGACATCTACACCACCATTAAAATACCGATGCCGCATTCTATATGAATCGTGACTGTTTCGCCATGGTTTAAATTTTGCCTTTTCCTTTAGCTTTAAAATCTCTATGGAAATACTATCGAAATCTCCACGTAATGAAGTCCTGAGATGAATATTTCCGATGGTTCCCAAAGGATGCATAGTGTTTTTAAGTAAATATGAAGTAGGAAGGTCCATGAGACAAGGATTTGGGTCTTTCAGGAACTCCGTCACGGGATCAGAGTCAGGTCAACCTCATGGCATGATTCTCCTAGACCGTCGAGTGCTTCCGTTTGTAGCAAAAAGGTTAACCTTACCAACACTTAATATTGGTTCACCGTCCTGATTGTCGAGGCTTTATCCCATCTCGACTCTGCACTTTATTCAAAAAAAGTTCTGTTTTAGTAAATTCTTCAAAGTTCATTTCACGTTAAAACATCACCTAGCCTATTCTTGTCCATCTTTTCCAATCTCCTCGTGGTTTAAGAGTAGTTTTGTTTTACAGTGGTCTCCTTTTTTATTTTTACTTTGCAATGTCCAGAATAGCTCTTTTGGGTGCAGGGTTGTCCACGAAATCGCGTTTTCATCTGACCCCTTTTCATTCCTATTTTTTTAACCTGGCGTTTTTGCCGAACGCTTTTTAAGAGTTTAGACGATGGCGACAACTTTTCAAGTTTTCATAATTTGCAAGTTATCTGTTACTTACTTGTTTTTTATCTACTCGCTTGTAAGGATTTAGCTAGCTTTTTCCACTTCAGTTGTTATTATGTTTCAAAAGGAATTGGTAGATATTACTGTTCCAGTACCATTCCTAGACGGTTCATAAAAGGTCATTTAATGTTTTGACTTTTATAAAAGTTAGAGCATTGTGATTTCCAATATAGCACGTATTTCCTAACAATGGTAATCTCGGATTCGAAGTCCACATGGGGTCCCGTGTTTTGCTCCTCAATGCCATTGTGGTTGTGTGTGTGTCATAATTAATTCATCGATTAAGAATGACTAACAGTCAATACTCACGTGTTGAAGCCTTGCAGGTGCAGATATAGTGCTGCTCACGTCGATTGGCCAGGCCATCTTATGAAGTGATCTTCTTGACTCGACCTTTATCGTGAAGATCGACTCAATGTGCCGTTCTTAAGTGTTGTTGAGCGAATTCTCTCGATACAGCGCGGAAGATGTTCCAGTTTGCAACCACGATGATGCTGGGATAATTGCAAAACCTGGATCCCAGACCAGATTTGAACCCGCGACCACCCTCTCCGGTGGCTTGCTTCTTACCCACCGCACCACTAACGCCCTTGCTTTGCTTTTCTGTAAGAGGGACAAGTTTGGCAAATATCTCAGTATGGTTGTGGTTGTATCCCACATAGCACCGTACCATGAAAAAGTAGTAGGCAATAAATGAAAAGCTGCACATTGTTTCAACTTCATTCGGTTCTTGTATCGACATACTATGATTTCACGAGAATGTTAGAAGCACTATGTGGAGAAATCTCATACTAGGGAGAAAAAGACTTACGAAGTATGGCATGATTCTGTAGAGTGCATCTCACTTTTCGGCACCGTATGAAAATCGTTCCGCTCATTGTGCTTTTTATGGAGTGAAATACTTGACTGTTATCGTGAGTAGAAGGCAGATGTACATATATTTCATATGCATATATTTATAGTTATTTCACATGAGCCATCATCACATCTACTGTGGGGATCCCAGCACTTCTTGCATTCTCTTAGTTTTCCTCGCATCCAATGTCCACGAAGCTCTTCGAACAATTCGCATCTGGTTTCGGTGGCTGATTGAGGATTTAGCCTTTATTTTCATGTTTTATATTTATCTTATCAATCTTGGAGATAACCGAGGCAGGCGTCCCCGTGTGGATTGTAGGAGAGCGCTGGGTGAAAGCGGAAAACCAGTACCTTGCTTCTTGATGGGCTGCACCACTAGCCTCTATATATACATGGACGCGCGTGCGTAGTGCAGTGGTTAGAGGTGCCATGCAATACACATTGGTTATCCCGCGGCCTAGACTCATCAAGCCTTCCATCCTTCCAGAGTCAGCAGATTGCTACCAGACTTCTCTGGGAGGTTAGCAACACTGACTCGATACATCGGTACTCTACCGCGAGTCAAGCTATAGGCCGTTCAATGACAAAAGCTTTAGAGTTTTTTAGCTTTATGTGTATGACATTACACTAATGAATTCGGTTTTACATTTACACTGTGGTGAAACGTTGAGCAAGCACAGATCAATACAGGACGCCATTGGTGAGCACGACATGAGATACGAAAAATCATTACACTTCTTTAAAATAGCTTTGTTTCGAAATCTACAAGCAATTATTTAAACAGGTTTACCATAAATAAATGAAAACAAAGCAACAAAAACGTAACAGTAATTCTCAGCTTGTCAAAGTTCCTTCATGTTCTGGTCGTTTAAGATCACCGAAAACCGCAGCAGGAACAGTGTGCGTTTCAATAGCTGAAAAATAAATACTTCTTGCAGACTGTATAGAAAAAGGACAGACACAAAGTTCCACAAGTACACCCATAACTGTTTCTCAAATTCGGTACATTCACGAATTAAAAACTATGTATAGTCGGAAGAAGCGTGGCAGCCTAGTTATATCCGTAGTTTTTCAAGTTTTTGGACTTATAAAATACCCCAACACACATAAAGACATTTCCTAACAACTTACCAGAAATGTCTTCATCCTCATCACTACCATCATCAACATCCACATTGATTTCGTCAGGATTTTCCGTTGTATCCATTTGAGTGGTTTTACTTGTACCACGAACAAAGGCTATGTTACCGCTTGAATGCTTATCGGACTGAAATAAAAATTTCAGAGAAGAGAAGTTACTGGTGCAAAAAATGCATTTCATTGTAAAAGTTGCAGTAGAAACAAACATATTTATCCAGCATCTGCATGGCATTGGACGATTTGGCTTCCACAGCTGCCTAGACAGATCACAAGATATTTATGAGTTTAAGATACAAGTGTTTATGAAACTAAAAATTCGAACCTTAGCTGCTCCTGCTGCTATCAATTGCGCTGACATATGTTTAACGCTCGTATTATAGGTCTGTTGTACAGAACGTTTAATTCTGAGCATCTCGCGTAGAGTATCCTCGTTACCGTGTTTTACCTCGAAATCCATCCAAATATCCCAAAAGTGGCCGTGAATCTATAAACAGAGAACAGTTCTCAATAACGAGGGCTTTGTCAGTCTTAATAAACTCAGAAAAGTTACTTTAAGTAAAATATTAAGTAAAAATAGGACATCCGTATCTAACCTTGGGGTCACAGATTTCCGATGCATGTGCAAATATTGCTCGTGCGCGATCAATTTCACCAAGAGTCCGCTCCATTTGAGCATATCGTAAACTCAGTTCTCTGGATCGAAATATTATGCAGAGTAATAATGTAATTTAGGATAACTAGTGCACTGTAGAGAGCAGCGAACCAGCTGAAGAACTGAGGAGGTAATTACAAACTCGACATCCCTATGAAACATAGGGTTCTAACCACGAAGCAAATCACGAAGCTTACATTCTTAACACAGAGATGAAGTCAAGTACCTCTGGCAGCTTCTAAAATTTAGGCCTTCAAGACCTCAAAATTTGTACTTCATAGCTTTGAAAACAAATTGTAAGTATTGAACTACCCAATAAGTTGGCACAGCTGTGTGGGTAACAATATAACCTAGATAGCAACTTCTTGTGATGAGTACTATACACCCGTTTGAACGTCTTGCTTTCATTTCTCAGCCCCACTATCCAGTTGGTCAGTCACTTATTTAAATGCCGATGAAGCGTATCATATACGACACATACATAGTTGAAAATAGTCTGGCTTGTCAAACTTTAACACTTGTAGGAATATTCAAGTTGATTTCCAGTCATATGTGTGAAAGCAAGCAGGGTTGTGGATGTACCGATGTACCACAATCTCCCTAATTTTTTTTCGCACAGACATGAACATTGTGCCATGGACAAAGCACATTCTTTCAACATTTAGGGTCCAAAAAACGTTTTTTGGAATGAGTTTGTTGACCAAACCAAAAAACCCTTGTCGGTAGAGACAGTAGGAAGACGTCTATATATCTCAGGGCAATTAATTGCCTTTTATACTAATAGGACAGCATAGCAACTGTTTCTACTGGGTAGTGCCTGTACGCGGTGTAAACCAACCGGTATGATTTGACTTACAACCACAGGATGTACGAGGAAAAAATAAGCATCACTTAGGTGGCTAGCAAAACTATGATTGCGTCGAAAAAAAATTAGGCCAATTAAAATTTTAAGTATGTCCATCTGAGTTGAATCCATTATGAAATAAAGAACTTTGCCATCACGGTATGTCTCCTAATTTAAAAGAAAAAAGAAATTCTGACTAATTGGGCCAAAATTTTCTCAAGGCACATATTTCGAACAGCAAGAACACTGGATAAGAGGCATTACACACAGTATGAAGTGATCATGTTCTCATACGTTCGTGTCTGTTTCATGCAAGTTTGCGATTTAAAAAACTGTAAGGATGTCAATGCGACAGTATCTCAAGTCCTCGCGTTCGATCGACCGGTTAATTAACCGGAAGAATTACCGTCAATACGTGTATGGCTGACGTCATGTAGCTTGCCAGTTGCAACATGGCGATTATCTCTACAATCCATGAGTACATACGACTGCTTCTAATAAGGCACGGATATCACTGCTGTTAGTGAGGAGAAAAAGAATATTAAGCGGCAGCTCGACATACACACGAATTCAACCACTTTTACGGTTGACGGTTGCAAAACAAAGAATGCTGGGAAGTGGCTAGATAATCAAAAGATCACAGTTGGGTACTACTGCTAAAGACCTGGGCCTACAGTAGTAGAATGTACTAAAAACTTCCACTTTGCATTTTGTAGTAACTCCCAAGTCCAACTTTCTATTAACCTCGGCATTGATTGAATAATTCTTTCTATTTCTGTTCAGCAAACACGGGGTGTTACTTTATTTCTTTTCTTTTACTCTTCTTTAAACGTCAGCTTGTACGTAAATAAAGAAATAAAGTAACACCTCGTGTTTGCTGAACAGAAGTAGAAAGAGATGGCATTCTTGCGCGACAACGCTTTACTCTCATTATACATTGTTTATATTACTTTGTTTCACTGATAATTTAACACGAGGTTGTTACCAAATGTTTATTCGGCTAACGTTTCGACGTCTTTGTTTTCCTCAGAGCCGCTGGTCCGAGTCAATGGTCCACGGGTGTTCGTCTCGATATGGTGTTCCTCATCGTTAACCGAATCTTCTCTAGTCCAGCATCACTCAAATGAGCAAACCTTACCCGGTAGCGCTTTTTTACACATAGTTGTTGTTGACAATGACTAACCGTTGATAATAATTTGTTTTCCAACGCATCCTGCAGCAGTCAGTATTAGATAAGCTTGTAAATAGCGAAGTATACTATTGCAGACCTAACTCCATTTCGTTTCGACGTAAATGAACAATGCACCTTGTTTCATCAACAAGCCAATATGAGGAGAAGATTTCAATGTAAGCTTGTCTAATACCGACTGCTGCAGGATGGATTATTCGTTGAAAAAAATTATTACCAACGGATAGTCATTACCAACAACAATTGACCTGTATAAAAGAGCGCTGCCCGGTGAGGTTGCCTCATTCGAGTGGTGGTCCACAAAAGAAGACTCAACTCGATACGACAACAAAGACAGCACACCGAGAAGACGAAGACGTCGAAACGTCAGCCGAATAAACATTTGGTGGTAAACTTGTGTTAGCTTATCAGTAAAACATGGTAGATCAGTAGTTTATACCGAGGTTAAATGAAACTCGGTTTACAATTCCAATCCTAGAGTAACACTATTCCACCTTCTTCAGAGGATGGAAGGGTCACGTTGGCTGCAATTTACCCAGCAACCCAATCCACAACCAGAAGTTCAGACTTTAATGAATGTTGGATGCAAAAAAAAAACTAATCGAATCCAAAAATGCTGGGATTCATACATGTGATGCCACGTTATGTAAAAAAAAAAATAGTTACCTTGACGAGTCTTCAGGAAGAACACTAATGGCATGTTCATAAATAGGTCGTGTATGAGGAAGACCGTAGAGTTCTTGCGCCTTTTTGATGTAGATATTGAACATCTAAAAGTTTCATGATGGCTGGTAATTTTGAGAAATCATAAAGAGGGCTCATTGTGACGAAAAATACCTTACAATTGAGGAATTCAAATATGTATGTTTGTACGCAGTGTGTATGTATCTATACAAATATATATATATATATATACGTGAATATGTATATATACAACATATATATGTACATATATACATATATATATATATATATATATGAATTGTAAACTTATGTACACCATATGCATATCTTTCCACCTCATTGTTTAATGACGATGAGGTCTCGAAATTAGAAGAGACTCATAAATAAAGTATGAGTGATTAAAGTGGTCCTATGACACGCCACTTTATACTTCTCTTCTTTAAGCACAACTCAGTTATTCAGTTAGAAGTCAAGTCTCTGAATTCTCACAAACAGTTGTACCTACCGAACACATATCTTTTCGATCAACTGCTTCAGTAGCACGATTGTAAATAGACATGGCATGTCGAGCTAACCCATAATCCTCCTCTAACTTAGCATATAACAAGAATATATCTAAAAATTGCAATAATATAACCAATATATGACCTTCGAAAGAAGACAACAAGAAAGTAACTACGTGATGGCTTACTTTTGGCAAACTTAGCAGGACATCCTTCAAGACATTGCTCGAACAAATCTCGCGCTCGCTCTAATTTCTTCCCACTCTGAAAAATTAACTCACAAGAACCACAGAATATTAGAGTTCAAAACAATGATCCGACTCACATATCTCTTAATAAATTTCGTAAGGTAGAGATTCCATATATCGTAAACCTGTGGCCACTTGAACAAAGCTATTCCACGTTCATAAGCCTATATAAGCAATATAAATTGCTTCCCAGATATCTGATATCCAAGAATCTATGAATATGCTAGAGCACTGGACCCTTGACATGCAACCTACCTTAAAGGCGTATTCAAAATAATCATGCTCCTCTAAAAACATTGCATAATTTATGACAATCTGAGGCGTTGCTATTCGCAAATCTAGAATGCGGTCGTACACTGCTCTGCACGAATCGACCTGAGAAATGAAAAGACCGCGAACACTTCAACACCTCAACTTGATACGCTTGAATCAATGCGTTACCAACCGTTCCGAAACCCTCTTCTAAATCAGCATACATTGACCACACACGAAGGCTTTTGTGAACCCTATTCTGAACTGTCTCCGTCTCATCAAAATAGTTCGTCTTTCGCGGCGGAGGAGCACACGCGCGTCGTAACACGGCGATGGCGCGATCGGATGATCTAAAAGTGTATACACCCGTACCAAAATAATTTTCAATCTCGTGAACTCTTGATACATTTTTGGTGAAACGTTAACGTTTGAATTGAGAACGCTTTTGCTCCAGCAGTGATGACTGATAGAAGAAAAGAACAAATAAAAACATTGCTATGATGCTGAGACATTTGCAAAACTCCGGACCACAGGTGTCCGTGAAGGGAATCGAACACGTTATTACCCTTACCGGGAACTAACACGTTCACCATCACACCATGACGGCCCTTCGTTTCCCCTGTCTCCCAACTATTTTTCTATCCACCAGCGCCATCCGCAATCGCCCGTCAATGGATTTGCTCTAGAAAGCACAAATCAAAAGAGAGAAAGGTGAAATGAAGGACATGTATGGTGTGGTGGCGAACGCGCTAGCTCCCGGAAAAGGTAATACTGCGTTCGATCCTCACGTAGACACCTACGGTACGGAGTTTTGCAAATATCTCAGCATTATTGTGGTTGAACCACACATAGCACTCTGCCTTGAAAAATTGTAATAGGCATTAAATAAAAAGGGAAAAAAACCGCTATTATCAAAACGGCCGCTGATATTGATAGACTAGCTAACATACTTCTGGCGAAGCTCCATCTCGGCATATTCACACCAGACTGTTGCTAGCTCGTCCACCTTCGCATATGGAATTTGCGTTGCCTTCTCGAATATACTTCGAGCCTATACGTAAAGCTTTAAATTTTGAGACACAGAAGAAGACAGACAAGAGCAAAATTTGAACTCTATGAACACCTACATCATCAATCTGTCCGGCATTTTCATAATACTTGGCGAACGAAATCCACAATGCGGACAGTTTCCCTGCTTGCAATTTAGGCTTTACAGTACGTACACCTTCCAAGTACGTGTCTATTTGCTAAAAGAAGTAGACAAGTGTTAGTAGTTAAAACTAAAAAACATAGAAATAATGATCATTGTTTCAAAAAAGAATCACAACTGCTGGAAATTTTACAACCACTAGTCGCAACAAGTATGACACAGTCTAACCTTGTCCGGCTGCCCTTCATAAAGGGTTACTCGATTAAGCCATTCATGCACATTGTGCGGATTTTGTCGAAGTAACACACTGTTAAGCAATAAAGGTCGACGAGCCAACAGATGTTCAAATCTGCAAACGCAATTGGCAGACAAGCCATAACTTTCACAAGGGAATAATTGAAACACATTTCTGAAACAAACCTCGCGAACATCCACTCAAGTTCCAGTTCATCCTCTTCGTCAGGCGGCTCAGCGAGGTTATCCATCATCGCTGCTGTATTCCTCTCTTCAAAAGCGGCAAAGGCATCAAAAATCTGTGTAAAATCTCGTACCGTCTTTACAGAAACCATCGCTTCTTCGTATATATCACGGGCCTAAACATAAAGCACGTCGGCAACTTAAAATGTAGAAAGGACTTCTCAAATGGAAAAAATCCAATCACCCTTTCAAACTGTCCAGCACGGATGTAGTACTCAGCAAATGAACACCAAAGCACTCCAACCTATGCACATCAGAAATGTGAAAAACGAAAAGAAACGTAGTGACAAGGTTACAATGAAACATTCAACAAAAAACGGACTGGGAATCTCGACTGACCTGGTCAGAGTACTTTTGAATTCCTTGTCTCATAATCACATTAACGTCCAAAGAGTGCACTTTTTTAGGATTCTTTGAGATCAATTCACACAACTCTGCCCAAAGCTAGAAACAACTGATGTTAAAATGATAACGGAGACGTTTCCGAAGAAGATTTCTTTGAACAACATTTTCTTCAAGTATTAACATCATTTTAGTACTGTTTGAGCTACGATAAAAGAAATCTCTCAAACTACGTGGCAAGATATCACCCAAATAAGCATAACAGTACTTAACGTTAACCACACAAGTGATTGTACATTAAATGCTGCTTCTTGTCACAAACTTTCCAACTGAATGATATGGTTTTAGTGGCGTAAACATTTCTATGTGGTAAAAGGATAGAGCTCTCGGCGTTGATCAATCGCTGAAGGATGCGCCATGTATTCGACCTAATCAAGCATCGTTTGGAGGTGATTCAATGCATATCTCGCCAATGACTCACAATGGCCTACCGATGTATCGACCCAATGCTGCTATCCTCCCAAAGAAATCTGCTAGCAATTTACCGACTCCGGAGGGATGGAAGGCTTGCTGTGCCAAGCGTGCAGGGATCGATCCCACTTGTGTACTGCAGGACGCCTCCGACCATTGCGCTTCGCACGCCCCTTTTATGTGGCAATCTTATCAAATTTATACTTTCCAACTACCAGTGGTTTTTGATTCACAACCGTCCCCACTCGTGTTGCACAATTCTGACCGACAAGTCAACTAAAATACCCTCTAGACATCATGGTGGTCCACAACCATATCGGTCGCAGGTCGTCAAAAGACAAAGTGAAGCGTAACACTACATCGACATCGAACGAAAAACGTGAGGTACACACCAGTAACATTCCCAATACAAACAGCGGAAGAATTCCTCAACCATGCAATCACCATAATGTGCAACCAACATCCACGAGGAAGGCTCGAAAACCCAAACGGTTCATCAGACGACGGATTTCTGCTGAGAAACTTTGGGTAGCGAACATCTTACCTGGTGCACAGTCTTCCCCTTATCGGACACCGGCATATCCTCGTTCACAAGAGCCACCAACTGCCGAGCGGCCTCGTCCAATTGATCAATTTTAATAAGGTATTCGACAAAATCCTCTCGCGCTCGTGGATTTAATTTCATGTACCTGGAATGAAACACAACGCGAAACACTCAAAGGATGTCCGAGCAAACGATAGATAGAAATCTTAATCCTACCTCCTGTAAACTCGGATGGACGTTTCAGGAATGTCATGACTTGTGACGAACTTGATGTACAGAGGCCAAATTCGAAGATGCTGTGTAACAGGCAAAGCTCGCAACGCTCTAAATGATTCACATGAGTCGAATCCTTAGCTCATCAGGCACTTGTTGAAAAAACCTGTCGAAAACTCGTCGACAATCGGTGACAATTCTTCGCTTCGTCATCACTGTGCAGTAATCCATCCATATTCGAGGCATCTTAACAGAGAAAATTGAAGATCGATACAAATCCTGACGAAAAATTCAAAGATACAAGCAACTTGTCACAAGAACCTTGTGCATGTGAATGAGACATCTTTCGTAAGCATCACATAAACGGGACCATGAGATGTCCGTCGGAGGCTTGTGAGCAATCACTCGCTGTCGAAAACGCAGGTAATTGTACCACAACTTATAACAACGATCAAAGACCTTCAGCGCACGTTCGTAGATCTGAAACAAAAGAAATTTTTGAGTCAAATGGATGCCTTGGTATACAAAACGTTATCCCATAGTCTTGCGCCTAGTACAAGCACACTAGCTAGACAAATACCTGGCAAATTTCTCTCCACGGCGCGTTCGTCTTCCTCTTGTGATCTATGTACCGTTGCCAGCTCCGAAGCGATGTAGGATTCTTCAGGATATCTTCTTCATAAGGGATATCCTCTGGTGACTGGAAAGAATGAAATCAGATGAACAGCAGATAAAGATGTCAAATGAAGCATAGGAGACAGAATCCTCGCAAAACCATCACTCCATAAAAAAGAACTGTCTGACAAAACTAACAAGATGGTAGGGCTTCTTCGGTTTGGACGAAGACTCCGCTATCTCTCGAGTTTCCGCCGAGATTTCGCTCAGGTCGAAATTTTTGTGTTCACCAACTTCCATTGCGCTTTATCTGTAGAAAAACACATTCACATTAAACATTAAGTTAGTCAGAAGATGTCACAAGCCAGAAAACTTCAAAAAACTAGCGGATTCATTAATGACACAAAGGATAAAGGATAAAGCTCTCGGCGTTGATCAATCCCTGAGGGATACACCATTGATTTGACTTCATTAAGCATCATTGGAAATGACCGAATGGATACCTAGCCTTTACGATGACTCACGATGGCCTACTGATGTATCGAACCAGTACTGCTAACCTCCTAAACAAGTCTTGTACCAATTTGCCGAACCCGGAGGGATGGAAGCCTTGGTGAGCCTTGGGCGCGGGGATCGATTCCATATGTATTGCAGGGCGCCTCCGACCACTGCGTTACACGCGCCCTTAATGTCACATTTTCTAATACCCAAGTCAAAGTGAAATTCTCCTTATCGGAGAAACAAACGCTGAAGACAAACATGAAGCACCACCACTCCAAGCTGTTTTCGAATAACGCAATGCTTTCGAATTGCAGGTTCTCGGACAATGCATTTAATATCACGGTTGTTACTCCGGAACACGGTAATATCGGTAAGATAGCAGTACTTCTTTCCTGTATACTTTTGTTCTTTAGTAGCGGATTCGTTCCACTTGTATAGGTATATATTCATTTATATACTACGTATGTATGTGGATAAATATCAATATGTATGTGCGGACATCTATGTTTGTATACGCATCTGTGCGTGTGTGAATACGTATATCTGCGTATATACCAGTATATATACATGTCCATATACATACGCATGTATATATATATATATATGTATATGCATATATGTAAATATATAGACATTTACTGCGTACGTCATATTTTTGGTTTAGATATGTATAAAAACTCGAGGAAGCCGACCAGAAAGTGCGTTGTGGAAGGAAATCGAGAATTTTACGTAGACTCCAGAGCGGATGTTAAATCTCAAGTAAGTTCTATTGAAAATGAAATGGGGTTCTCAGGAATCATCTGAGCAAAGTTTTGGAACCCTGGAATTCAGTTTGGAAGCCCGTGATTTGCTGTGAAGTGCATTTTTAGTGGTAGATTTTTTCAGCCTACAACGGACGAACGAGTTAAAAGAGTACGGAAGCGCAAACGTCTTCGCAACAGCGAAAGAATGTTGGTTTTAGTTTCTGAGTGTGTTGTTCTCATTTTGTCTGAAGAAATGCAGGTGATGTATGGACTGCTCTATGGTTTTTAGCATGTTAATAAAAACCACATGTAGCGCAGTGGTCGGAAGCGCATTGCAATAAGCATGGGGTGGACCACTGCACCCAAGGCTCACCAAGCTTCCATGCATCCGTGATCGACAAATTGCTACGAGACTTATTTGGGAGGACAGCAACAATGGTTCGATACATTGTTAGGCCACCGCGTCGTAGTAAAGCCCAGATATGCATTCATTCGCCTACAACGATGCTTATTGAAGTCAAATGCGTGGTGCATCCTTCAGGGATTGATCAACGCCGAGAGCTCTACCCTTTTATATATTCATTTCATTACATTAACTCGGAAAATTAACTCAGAAATTGTAACGCCTTTTTCTCTTATCTGCGGTTTGAAATGTGATGTTCTTACTTTTATTCTTGTTTGTTTTACCGTCGATCATAGGTTTATAACAAAGCGCTTAACCTTGAAGAAACCCTGCTCAGATGTTTCACTTAAGTGTTCCATGTGTAATCTTGTGCAGAGCCTAACCGAATGTTAAAGGTCATCTTGTTACTATTTCGCTTTTATCAGCTGTATTATTTAAATCTAGCCATATTTACTCCATGCTGATATGACTGTTTAATTAGTGTGCTTCATCCTTTTAGGAGCCAAGGTATTGAATGTTTGAAGAAGACTAAACTTAATGTCGTAACACCTGAAGTGGGTATGAAAGCATTTAGTGATTTTGACATCGATGAAAGGTTACTAAAGGTAATTTATTGTTATTTCGGACTTGGAGACCAATTCTTCGCTGTTCTTGCGAATGCTTAGGAATGCTTTCAACAGGTGATATTTTCAGTCTATTGGGATCATCGGGTGGGAATCGCCCACCCAGGTGCAGGAGTCGTTGTTTTCCCTCGCTCTAGAGGACAAAAATGTCATCGCTAGAGCGCGGACGGGAAGTGGCAAAACTGGCGCATATTTAATTCCTATTATTAACAAAGTTATCGGCTTTATTTCGGTTTGTTCTTTTTGCCGTAGCAAAAGCATCGTTCTTCATTTAATCTCTGTATTCAGTCCGATTCGAAATTTTTTGGCGGACCAACAGCGTTGTTCATCGCCCCTACTAAAGAGCTTTGTATTCAGGTATGATTCGAACCCATATTATTCCGATCTGCCATAATCTGTAGTGTTTCTTCTTAGATTAACGATCTGCTTGTGAAGCTTCTTGAACCACTTCCATTTCTGCAGTCCCTAAACTTGTCTGATTTGGCAATGGAAGAGCGTTCAGTCTGGGAAAACGTAAGTAGTTTAGACCTTTGTATTTTTTTTCATAGGATTTACGAACATTCACGTTTAGGACGGTTCTTAAAATATTGGGGTCTTTATAGGCTAGACGTGCCGGATTTTATGTAAAAATTCAATCCATTTACCAATTCTTTGAAAATGTCTTTACGATAGTGAGCAACTGCAAATTACAACTTTGTAGAGCTTGCCAGACCTTTGTAGTCGACCATCTAAGTCATTCTCTGTGACGAAATGTGGGAGCTTTTGTCGGGAAGTTTAAGTAATACTGTGGAAACATGGGCGTGTATGGTGCGATGGTCGGAGACGTACTGTAGTACAGATGGAATCGATTGCCGTGCCCCTGGTCCACCAAGCTCTCCATCCCTCGGGCTTCGGCAGATTGGTACCAGACTTGTCTGGGAGGATAGAAGCACTGGCTCGCTGCATCGGTAGGCCACGGAAAGTCATTGTAAAGGCCAGATATGCGTTCAATCACCTCCAAATGATGCTTAATAAAGTCGGATGTATGGTGAATCCCTAAAGGATTGATCAGCACCGAGAGTTTTTTTTACTGTAGGTACGAGTTTTTGAGTGTTTGGTTACCTAATTATTGTGTTTTTATGACTACGCCCACTTCGTCGTCTCTACGCCTGGGAAGTTACTGGAGGTGTTGTCTGTTCGTCCAAATTTTTGCGGTGATGTTCGATACCTTGTTCTTGACGAAGCGGATCTCTTACTGTCGTTTGGTTATGAACAGGAAATGAGGGATGGTGTCTATTCACGACTCAATTTTTATTCAATTTGTTCTCAAATGCTTTATTTTCCTGTGTTTTACTATGTATTCTTTTAGCTCTATCAAGAAATCTCTTCCGTCAAAGTACCAATGTATTATGACCTCAGCTACCGTCACCGATGATATGAGTCCTTTGAAGACGTTGTTCATGACGGGTCCAGTTTTCACAATCAAATTGAAGGTTACTATATTCTTTTTTTTAGAAATTCACTTAGTATGCATAATTCATCTGTCCGATATTACAGGAGGGAGATCTTCCTAATGTCGACCAATTGGCACAGTATCAAATAACATGTTTGAATGACCATGAACGGTTCACAATACTTGTAGCGATGTTCAAACTGAGGCTGATCGTTGGCAAAACCATAATATTCGTTAATGATACCAATAGATGTTATATGTACGTTATTCACATGATGTTTAAAACTCTGGATTCAGGGATACATACCTTATTCTGTACTGCATGACTAGATTTCTCAGTGTTTGTTTCTATATATGTTTATTAGATCAGTTGAGTTTTCAGGACGTCACTGGTGCTCAGAGCATTTGGATTAAAATCATGCGTTTTGAATTCTTCCATGCCTGCCAATTCACGCTTCCATGTTATTAACCAATATAATAATGGTGCATTCGACATTATCATCGCATCTGATGCTGTAGATGCTTTCGGTGATGATTCAGTTCAATCAAGAGAGGTCAGTAATTAATACTTAGCACTCTCGACGAATGACACCCGCGAGTGTCATGATGGTCCTGAGGGAGTGGAAGATAAAGCATCTATAAGTGTCATTTTCTTTCTGATGGTTTATTTTGGTGCACAGAAGTTTTTTTCCGTACTTTTTGCGACCAATCGATGGCTTATCAAAGGCAGATGCTATGGTGAGCGTCTTTGCTGGGTGGATATCTTAATAATTTCTCACCAATTCCTCATTTTGCGACGAAAGAGTGTAGCTGTTGAAGAGTGTGTGGCCTAAATAGTGTAGCCACTGAAGAGGTGCAGAAATACCTATGCGTCGAAAAAAGCATCCCGTGTGAATGCAGTACCACTTTTGATAAACTAGCTTTTGGGTATTGTTTTGAATAAGAGTGTATGAAAGCTGAAAGGTAAACATCGTAATGTTCCCTTTAGAACTTATGCACCAGTATGATTGCATTGTGGACGAGTGTTTTCCTCCATACAGAAGAGTTATAAACTTAGTTGAATAGTTGAATGTTCTGTATTCACTGGTTGTGCAGGGCTAAGCATTATTTCCATTCGTTTCTCTCTCGTACAATCGTCATCCATAGCGCTGATGTACTTCGAAAATGGCGTCTGCGGAGCACATTCTATAATCCTCAAGTCGTTCTTATCTGCAAATGAAGAGAACCAAGAAATTAGGCGTTCTCCATTTCGCAAAAACACGAAATTAGACGTCGTCGCGAGAGTGTCAATGAGAAAACGCACTTATAATCTGAGTCACGATGCAACGTTTATCTTCCGGTCATTATTTTTACACCATGTGGAACTATGTGAAGTACAACCACAATGCTGCTGAGATATTTGGAAAACTTGGAGTCTGGGCCAGGCCGAACCGCGATTACCCGTTACGGGGCTCACATGTTTCGCATGGCACCACTGAGGCCCTCGTTCAGCCTTTGTGCTAGTCTCTTCACCCTACCGATGCCTTCAGCATCCAGCTGTATCTTGGGAAATACTGTTTTTTTTGCTCCTGGTTGCTTTTCTGCGAAATTATATACGAATATTTCCAGTCCTCGCGTAAGGATAAGGAATCTGGCGTTTCTCGAGGGATCGATTTTCATCAAGTAGGAAATGTAGTGAATTTGGATTTTCCCACATCAACTGACATCTACATCCATCGTGTTGGGAGGTACGTTACTTTAGGAATTTTAAGGTTGGATGTTAAGACTTAGTTAGACAAGTTAGACACACCGAAGAAATTTCAATTTTCAGAACTGCTCGTGGCCGAAATAAAGGAACAGCTTTGTCACTTTGCACTCCTGAGGAGAGGGTGTACTTAGATGAAGTTCAGGAAGATATCAACGGACAAAGTGGAGTTTTCATGTGCAGCTTTCTTTATTGCAGTCTTTGATGTTAAAATCTAAATTTAGTGGGCAGAAAAGTGATAGTTCCTTATGAAATTCGTATCAAAGAACTGGATTCCTTCGTTTTGAGAGTGAAGGTTTGTCTCCAGTGTATGGAACATATTTTTATGTCCTCGTTTTTTCCTTTTTTCTTTGTTAAAATCTCTGTGGTTGCATTTGTATTTTCTTAGGAAGTTCTTTCAAAGTGCGGAAAGTCAACGATCAAGGCTGCCCGAATACAGGAAATCAAGTTGGAGGTGAGTGCAACTTCGTATGTATACGGGTTTACAGAAAAAATGTGTGGCATTGAAGATTTTTTTGGAAAATCTTGTACTTTCATCTATGAAGTCACTCTGTCACCAGTTACAAATCCTAATGTTCCGAACGCTTTTGGATGGCTCTTGAGAGGCATAAGATGGTACGACGAATACCCAGTTATCTTCGCAGTGTTTGGGGTTATCATCCAGGAAGTAAACTTGCTCATGTCTTGGACGTTTTTCACGTTTTCGTTGTAGCACTGCCTGCACCACCCAGCTTCTGAAGCTGAAAATAGGGTAGACGGGTGCAGTGACCTTGTTATTGGCCACAAGGTGCCCACAGTAGATCATTTCTTCATGGTCTTACCAACCTGCATATTTTTCCATTGTACATCAAGTTTACGTGTTCTGCCTGAGTGGAAGCCGATAAGTGTGTTATTCACATGCATAAATTAGGCTGAAGGAAACAATTTCACTGGTTTGTTTATATGAGGCGTACGAAAGTATTTTATACTAAGTAATATGTGTTTCTTATACTATTGTTGTATATTGTTTTAAAGTCTATTTCTTGCATAATTCTCGTCAGATTACACTTTTCTAACAACTTGTAATGTTTTCCGAATGGTTCAATTGTTGACTGAAGGCAATAACGTATCGATTTCTCCATGATTTCAAATGTGAACGTTTTATCATCGAAGAAAATGGAAATATCATAGTAGCATAGGCCATAGAAGTGCTTTTTAGCGCATAGTGTGGCCAAATGGTTCAAATAAGTTCGCATAATGGATGCGAGAGTGATGACGAAGAAAGTCGTATTCGTTTAGCAGCACAGAACGACGAAAATATTGGAGACGATGATAGAGGTTGACGCTAGGAAACTGCTCTCAGTGCGATTGGATGTACATTAAACATTCAGGGGTCTTTCACTATTTGAATAACATTAGAAAGGTTGAAAAGCTCTATAAGTAGACGCCTTTAGAGCTGAACGAAAAGCAAGAAAGTCCGCGGTGTGTAGTTTGGTTTTCACTTGTTCGCTTAGGGAAGATGGGCCAAAAATGTTGTAGTTGGGCTGAGATGGAGCTCCTAATCTACTTGCTTGGATTCTTGTGTGACCCGTCTTCATCAGTAGTGCAGACACTACCACGTTTTCCATTCGTTTCCTTGCCTCGCGATCGTCGTCAGTGATGGTGATTTGGTCCAAGCATTGGAATGTGTACGATTCTTATACCACGATTTTTAGAACGTTGGCAGCTACGAGTCCACCTGGTTGACTTTAGTAACGAACACGTAAGCCCAAAGTGTCGCCTGGCGGTCGTCGAAGAGTACGGTTTGCATCCTCGTAGTCACCACTCCACTGTTCTTTCCTTTCATCTGTCCTCTGTTCTATCCATTATATGACCCACCCATCTATGTTTCGCTATCGATTTGTATTTTCCTGAGTTTTAGAGATGAGATTGCCATCGTAGAGCAGAACTTCACATTTCAACGGAATGTTATCTGTTCTGGTTAAATTTCAGAAAACATCGTTGAAGCCCTCGTTTCTAATGAATAACAGGGCACTGAGAGGAATGTTGAATTGAGAAGGTGAGTACGGACTTCTAGATACTTTACCTTGTCAGTAATCCCTGTTTGCTTAACTGGTTCTGCCTCGTCCAAGGTCTTCGGTTTCCGCAAAAGGATAATTTTCGTGAATAATTTGTAGAGTCTACTGCATAGGCATACATATTGATGAAATATTGCTATCAAACCTTCGTTTTGCCGACGACATTGTCATCTTCTCAAGAAGTACTAGCGAAGCAGAGGTGATGATTAACGAGCTCAACGAAGCGGAGAAAAAGATCAGACTTCGCATCGAAAGAAGACCCAGCTCATGACGCATCATGTGAAGGCGAAAAAATTGAATTTGATGGCTGTCTCATTGCAGAGATCACCTCGTACGTATACCTTGGGCGATCAATGAACATGGAAAACAGCACGAAGGAGGAATTAGATAGGAGGAGAGCAGCTTAGGCCTCATTTGGGCCTCCCAAAGAAGCCGTCGACAATCCGAAAATCCGCGCTCATCTCTTTGTTCTACGGTCCTCCCAACGCTCTGTTATGCTGCAGGGACGTAGCTTGATACTTCAATTACGTCAGGAGTGCTTCGAGCTAATCACAGAGCGCTTGAGCGATGTCTTCTGAAATATAACCGGTACTCTTAATATGTAGCCGGGATGCGAAGCTCTGACCTTCGAAATCTGTCACATCCTCGAAATCCAGGAGAATATACATCGATAGCGAAACAAAGATGGGCCGGTCACATAACGAGAAGAACAGCCGACATATGAACGAAAAGAACAGGAGAGTGGACTCCAAGAAAAAGCAAACGTCTCCTAGGACAACCACCTACGCGTTGGGCGGACGTGTTCGTAAACAAATTTAATCAGCTGTACCTACAGCTGCAGTTGTTTTACAGATTACGGTATGAGACTCGCAAGCGCTACTATGCTCGAACAAGACCACCACCATGGACTACGATTAGGAAAGAAAGGAACGAATTGTATATGTGCTGGGGTCGGCGCAGATAGTGAAGACTGACAGTCTAAAAGTATCCAAGTAAGTAATTTGTAGAGTACACTCAACTAGGATATCAAACGATAGTAACGAAGATCTTTTCGGTCAAAATTTTTAAGCAGGAAGACTGTGCGCAGAGTTCTCCATTGCTGTGTGATTTTCTGCTGAATGTAAAATATCATATGAATAACGAGAATTATGTGTAATTTGTGGCTTCCAATTCGAAGGATGTCGGTGGTGATATTATCGGGTCTTGGATCTGTGCCTTTCTTCATACCTTCTACCGCATCTCAAGCTGCAGGGGTAGGATTTATAAATGGTTTTTCTCCAGCGGGTGTCTTATGGTCCGGGATGGGGATCGTGGAACGTCAAAGGTTGGCGTTGAACTTTTCCGTTATCAATTCCATACCGCGGAGGGAACTTTTGATGATCCCATCGTCGTTCATCGTGGCCGATGTGGAGAACATTGTACTCGCACAAGACTCGACAGCTGAAATTCTTCTTTTTGGTTGGTGACATGAATTCTTCTCCAGTTTAAAGCTGATTCGAATCTTTGCGTGAAAAAACCAGTGATCAAACCTAGTGCCGAGTGACGGGATAACCGATGTTTCAAGTAAGGATGATTTTCTCTTAGTAGGGATATGGTTTATCTCGGCATATGTCGTATCTTTAGGTGACTCCTATGTACAGCGCTACTTTGTTTCTTCTGGAAAAGCGAGCTTCCATGAAAGAAGCGTAGTACATAAAGAAGTTCTATAAGACGGTTCCTACTCTCATTTCGATGTCCAATGCTGAATCTATCCTGTATTCATTTTCAGTTGCCATTTCTAATCTACCTTTGAGCCCTTGAAAAACGTATTTATGAAAGGAGTTCTCTTTACCGATAACTTGTTCTAATTAGTAGTAGAACGCGTCTATTTGGTAGTCATCAGTTGCATCGGTCGGTGAGTTGCAAGTGATGATACTGACCTTCGTTTGACGCGTCGGTTGAAGGTGGAGGTTGACTATGCGAGGGAAAAAGATATACTACGACTCGACAATATGGACAATGGATGCATAGATGACAGAGCCTGCGCCACCAAAATTTGATGATGGGACCTTTTCTCCGTGGATGACAAGGGTCTCATTCAGTTGGCTAATGTCGCTCATTTTGCTTTTTGCTTCTTGTAGGGCGATAATATTGAAGTTGACGCTAAAGACACAGTTTCAAGAAGAACGTAAAGGTCGGAGTCGAGAACAATGTTCTGGTATTATTCGTGCAAAGTAAGAAACAATTTCAATGGCGTTTCGTGTGTGTTTGTTAAGCAGATATGGTTCGAATCACGTCGGGCGCAATCCGAGATCTTATGCCCTCTGATCGGTTCCCTCACCTCGTGAAATCATTGACAGAAGAACCGATGCTCCTAAACACTTCTGAGGACTGATTTTCATGAAATAAGGTTATGGTGACTGTTTGGTTGTCGGTACCGGCTTAGTTTACCACAAAGTCTGAATTCTGCTGCAGAGGAGTTCTGCAATAGAATCGATGGAAGTTGTCGAAAGCTGTGGCCAACCCTTACAGCATCATCTTACGCAAGAACACTTAACCACGCGTTGTATGATTATGATTGTAGAAATTAAACTAATTCAGTTAAGAAGCTCAACCTTATTTAGCGCACTCATCTTAGCTCTCATCAGTCGAGTAACACTTTTCGAACATTTCTATTACCATTTCCGTGAAAAAGTCTTGGAAAAGCAATACGTTGTTAAACATATCTTCAGGATTTTGTCACTGTTAACACTTCATAATTTTGTGCAACCAGGCGCACTAGCTGCCTCGTATCTTATTAGAAGGAATACGTCGATTGTAATGGCTGCTAGTATAGTTGATAAACTTGTTTCGAGTTGAGCAAAGTTGTTATTACAAATCCCCCATTTTTTTCCTTTTGCATTGACAAATGCCGTCCTCCTGAAGTTGCAAATTCATCTTATTTACAACCTTTTGGGGTGGTGTAGGGGTTATGTATCCATACTGTATACCATTGTAACATAATCGCCACGACGTGTCCAGAAATAGTTACGACCTTTGCGTTAAACAAGCATATCCGAGCTCATATTTAACCTAATTGATTGGAAGGATAATCAACTAGCTACAGTTCATTATCGATAAGTTGCGACCTTGCTTATTCTACCAAGGTAAGATTTATTTTTGTTCTAGAATCTTCTTTGTTGGGATTTGTTTTCAAGTAATGAAACGAAACAGAAGGAATTCCATGCATCGGCATGCGATGATGTCCATAAATGCATCGCTATTCGCATGTACTACACTTGCACAAAAATTGTTAACAAACTCAGTCTCTTCCTTACTTTTTTCTTTCTTTCTTTGAGAATTTGTATGTTGAAAAACTAGGTTAAACTGATATTTTTGGAAAGTCATGCCCTTTTATGTATGACTGCGTAGCCAATTATACCAATGCACAATACTAAACCGATACAAAACTCTATTAATACAATGTTCCCTTGAAAGACTAAGCTAACACGGGGTTGTCATGTGAGTTCAGTTCAGCTAACGTTTCGGCGCCTTCGCATTCTTCAAAGCCGGATTCATCTGAGTCGATGGTCCACAGATCAAAATTCCGTCTCCCGAGGTGAGTCGTTGTTGTCGCGTCGTGTCGAATCCAGTGAAATCGAGAACCGCTCGAATGGAAAATCCCAGCGGTGCTATA